ACTCAGCCTGGTTTGATGTCTTGTGGGGAGGGTGGAAAGAAGAAAAGGGAGAACTTCTGAACTAAGATTGCAGTTTACACAACAAAGTCTGAGCTTCAGCAAGGGAGAAGTGAACAAGCTTATACAAGTGAAGTGCTCGTGCAAGCTGCCAAGCCATAGCATCGTTTTAGTGTTTACATCTGAAATGAATCTTTGTTGGCTCTGTGTACCTTGAAATCCAGATGCCAGTCATAATCAGCCTGGAAAACTAGGAGTCATGCCTTGAGTTGGGGACAATACTTAAGAGAATGAGAAGAAGCCTTGGGTTTGAGACCTGGAAATTTCCTAAGCTAGCAATCCTATGAATGTAATGACATTTAATATATTCAGAGTGTTAAGAGAACAAAAAGCCAACAGGCGGATAAAAATACACTACAGATCTTTGCAGGAGGCTGGCTCAGGTATAGTTCTTTTCCTCATACGCACTTCTACTTATCCCACTTGCATCTTAAATAGGTGCAATAGACACTTCATCCCTCAACCCAGATCAATACCTATTACTTGTCTGACACTTGAGCCAACAATTTATTCCTTCCAGCACCTCACTAGTTGCTATTTTTAGAATATGGACCCCTAGTTGGGGGCCAAAGATCCAGTTGACAATTCAGACAAAATGAAATGCACGTGCCCACAAACTTCTCTATTGAACCAAGATTTTTAGCTTAGTTGTTGTTAAGGTAACTGAGTTTTTTAAAGCAGCATCATATAGCTACTGCATCTTAAGTGTACCAGCATGCTGTGGACATGGACCACTCCTTCAGCAGTTTTCAGAAGGTGTATGTGGCAAATCTGCATAGCTGGCCATGCATTTGCTGATCAGTGGAAGACACTATTTTGAACCAGTCAGACTTAAGACTTAGGTTTTAGAAGAATTTAAAAAATCCTCTCGCAGACTAACCCAATGAAATGCCATTTCCTACTTTAGGGTCAAGAGTTGATCCAATTTTATTTTTAAATATTATGCTGACACACCTAGGACCTGAGTCACAGGCGCTGAATGAACATGGAACAAAGATGCCATCCCTGGACCTGCAGGGATTTCTGATCATCCGAGTATTCCAGACTTGGAAACAGCAGCCAGGGCAGTGAGGCAGAGGCAAGTGAAAGGCAGAACCAGGAGTGACTTTTCTCTGTGTCTAAACCCGATCGATGCTTCGCTGTGGATGTTGCAGGTTTACCTCTTAATACTCTCCAAAGATTATAATGCATTGATCATAAAGTCATAAGCGCAGCACTTACTTGCATCATGTACGAGCTTGGCTGTGAGGGGATGTGCAACCCGAATTCTGTGACAGAGCCAAGGTAGAGTTTGCTGTGGGCTATAAAGCTGCTGAACTGTGAAGGCGATTCCCAAGGCTGCCTTTTCTTCCTGAGCACAGGTGCTCAGGGTGAGGGAAGAGGAGGGAGACGAGGCTGCCGGGGAGGTGACACAGGAGCAGCGCGAGATCCCTTATCCGGCCGCTGCGGGAGCAGCTCTCCCGCCTGGGTGTTTTTAACCTGCTTCCGAAGGAAGCGGAGCTTTGTAATCGCGCTGTCCGTCTGCATCCTGTCTCCCCTCTTTCCCCTCCCCACCCGCTAATTTTCAAATCCACTGGCCAGTTTAAACCAAGGTTGATAGGGAAATGGAGGTTACAAAGACGTGATGCTCCCAAAAATCCTGGGAAACCGCACAGAGAAGAGGGATCTTTTAATACCCCCAGCATAGGGAAGCCTGCAGCATGAGCTCCTCCTTATTAGTTAATGGAGGAGGTGCACAAGACAGAAATCTTATCCGTGTCCTAACTATAAGGAAAGCCTCTACTGAAGGTTACATATTCTGAAATGTTTGGAAGTTTGGTCAATAGATAAGATGTTCTAGAAAACCAGGCACTGTTACTGTAGCAGCTCAAGGACTTCTAAGGGTATTTTGTGCCTGAATACACAGAAGACCCTTCTGTGACCAGATTTACACTATGGTTGGCACTTTTGGGGAGTTTTCCGTTCTGAAATACGTATGTCTTAAACATGGGACAGACAGGATGGGAAAAGGAACAGAGACGTAGGGGAGGAAGTGTCTTGGTGGAGGTCACCTACCAGGCCTGCAAATGCAGCAGGACACAATAGCACTTGCACAGCAGCTGCAGGCAGATTTCCTCAGCCAGAGGACAGAAACTTTTAGCACCCTGAAGGAGAATCATTTAAATACCAGTGTTGACAGGATTTCACACTTCTCAGTGTCTTCCTAGAACAGGCAAGGACAGCCTGATAAAACCAACCAAAAAAGCTGACCACTTGTGTCAGTATGGTGCTAACATAGCTCTAGTGAAGGACACTGCATTTAAAAAGAAAAAAAAAATCACCAAGTTAGCTGTGATCAACAGCAACCTCTTTAGGTTGTGGCTAGATTTATAAAGAACATCAACAGCAAAACAGAGTTTCTAGGATCGCAAAGTCTGATCCCATATTGAGAGATATGTAGAGCTAGCCACTGCACAGGCAAAATCAGAAGAGAAAGAAACTTGGATGGAGAGCAGCAGTAGAAATTAAGACAATAAGAATTCCATTCCACATTTTTGGGTGTGGATAGTAAATTTTAAAGACATTAATGTTAACTTACCGTGGAGTAAGGGTAGGAACTCCCAGTATCCACTTCCTAGTCCATGTGAAAAGGCAGGCTGAAGGGAAGCTGCCTGCTGAGCCTAATGTTAACAAGAAGTGCTGGGTTTCTACAGCTCGCCCATTAAACAGAAAAGGGGATCAGCAGGCACTCTTTTCCATCCTGCTCCCAGCTCCGAGCAGCACAGGGCATGTTGGAGCAGTACTTCCAAGCTGTTACTCTACATCAGGATTCAGGAGATCTGCCTTTTAATCCCTTCTCTGACATTAGCTTGTTATGTATCTTCGGTCCCTTTCTCTCTCTCTATTCCCTACATGTAAGGGCAGTTCTAAGGCATGACTGCATCCTACACAAATATATTTTTATACATATTTATTTTTAAAGTGGGAAGACACCTTTTTGCTGCAAGCCCTGAAGTGCAATTTATAAAGCCCCTGTTCATGATTTTACCATTTGGAGGACAAGGTTTCTGCAGTGCTGTTGATCAGAAGAAACCTGTTAAGTGCAGCTGTAACTAATGAGCAGAGGCTGCCCTAATCTGCCTCGTTGAGAACAGAAGGCCAGGGCCATCTATTACTCTTTGATTATCAGTTTTCCCTGAAAAGGACTCAGATGATTTTGATAGAAGACTGAGATAACAGTGTGGGGAGCAGACTTAGCTACTTCTGATATGCAAAGAAAATCCTATGCTCTTGCAGCCTGATTAGGTCAGAGAAATAGCTTAGTTTGTAATTAATTAGAGCTTGAGCAAGACAACATTTTTCATAGGTGGTGGAGGAAAATACGGGATTATACCCTTCCCTGCTAGGAAGCCAGGAGAAGTGGGAAGGGCCTTATTCCCTGTGCCCAGCTTCTTTTCCATATACACATGCTGAAACTGCTCTGTGGTGCTGCTTCCTCTGTGCCTGCCCTGCTTCTCCAAAGAGGTGGCTGTGCCTAAGGGCTCCCACAAGCTGTTAAGGACACAGGAACTTATTCCTGCAGGGCAGTTGTCACCAAGGTGACCTGGAGTGAGACAGGCGGCTGTTAACCCCCGTGGGAGTTGGGGTCAGCTTGGCCAATGCTCTGTGGGCATCTAAAGTTTGGGGTCTTGCAGTTGGAGATAGCGTCCCGTGAGCGCTGGCGCCTCTCCAGACCTGGGGAGCTCTGCTCTCCCGTAGCTGCTGCACGAGGTGGAAGAGTCTGAAAGCGGGAGGATGCCGGGAACGGGAGGCAGCCTGGCCCGGCAGCTCGCTCGTCCTCCTCCAGCAAGCTCAGGCCTTGAATGCAGAGCAATCTCTGCAGAATCCAGCAAAACCCAGGCCTTCAACCACCATTTCCTCTGTGCAACAGCCAGAGCTGCTGTCTCCCCTGAGCAGTCCCCAGGGAGGATGCAGTCCCACTGCAAAGTGCAGGACTGCCCTCTCGCGTCGCCGGCTTCTCACTCGCCGCGTTTATATCCCTGTGTCTGCCAGGAAGCCCCTGCCGTTTCCTGCAGCCCCTCTGCTGAGCGCGCGTTCATCACCGTGTCCTTTGTGGTAGGAAACAAAAAGCCAGTGATCAATACACAAATTTGCTACTTCATACAGATAATAAAGGAGCCAAAATAATGATCAAGGTTTAGTCAAAAGTGGAGTTTAAAGATCGTGTGTTAGCTGACCCTATCAGGGTGAAATTTGCAGACATCCTGCATTACGTAGAAATGTAATCTGTACTGAAAATTAATGGCATTTGTTAATTTGCATACAGGATTCTGGTTTTGACACCGCTTTTCTGTTACTCTGTCTTCGTAATTCAGTATCTGCTGAGTGTTTTTAGTAGTGTCCTGGCTTTCCTCGTAGGTGACTTAACACACTCCATACCAGATGACATTTTTTGCTTTAAGCTTTTAGAACATATTTGCCAGGATATACCTGGTGATTTTAATGTGGAATGCTCCTGCTCTGTGGTTTCTTTCGGGTCAGCAAAACAGGCACAAATGTAGCACGATGGCATCACACATTGCTTGAAGAATGAAGATTTTCAATTGAAAATTCTGCAAAAATTATAAATTTATAATTGAAAAATCAAGAGTTTCAGGAGAAAAATTCCAAATTATTCCTAGTAGACTTATCATTTGTGGACCTGATACAATATTGGCAAATGCTGATGTGCTTGCATGAAAATCATTTGTAGTGTTCACAAAATGCTGGCTAGATGTGGGTGCTAGTGTGAAATAGTTCTGCCAAGAAGCAGTGCCCAGTGATGAACATTAGCCTTATAAAAAGGCAAATGTTGTGTTAAAATACTTAAAAGTGGTATAGAAGACACTGCAAATGGCATCATGCCATTATATTAAACAATCATGTGTTTAATACCTAGAATATTGTGTTCCATTTTGCTTTTTCTATCCTGAAGAAGAGACAAGAGAAATACAAAAGAATTCAGGGTATATCAAGGGAAATAAAGAAAAGTCCTAAGATTACCTGCACTTTCTGAGCACAGAGTTTGGAACTCACAGCCATTAAGTAATTGAGGTTTAGAGTTTGGGAGAGGCCTTTATTGTTGGTAGTTTATTTTAAATAGAAATGCAGTTATCCTTGGGTAGCTGGTAGCCCATATTCTCTAGGACACGAGGCCAGGATTCTAATTTATCTTCCCTTTGCAAAGGCAAACATTTTTTTTTTTCTGAGTGTTCTTTTGACGGGAAGGTTCAGTTGCTGTATCGTGACCTAGGGACACCGAGGACTGAGCGTGTTCAGCTCTCCAGAGGGAGGCAGCTGAATAATTATACTGACTAATAAACCACTTAGTCTTAAAAATTATTCCTGCCTATTCTCCATCTTGTTGCAGAAGAATAAGAGGGAGAGAGACTACGACAGGAGAAGATGATTAAGAAGGACAGATTTGTGAAATCAACCTTTTCCTGCAACTCTCATAGTAAGCTATATGCAAGTTAAATATAGAATTAACACTTCCCTGGGGAGCCTGCTGGTGAACAGTTCACATGCCGTGAATTTGTAGCAGAGATTCTAGTCTCATTCCTGTTGGCTGGCAGCAATCTTCATTTTTAAAACATTAGTGCTTGTCTCCAGGGTAATTCTTGCAGTAATGGTTATCAGAGCATAGTCTTCTAAAAACTGTGCAATTTTTTTTGCCCACCACTTCTGCTGCTTAGTAACAACAGGCTATGAAGTTATGGTATCTACACATATCAATCTTTCATGAAAAAGCTGCAATAGGAAGATTACTCTTGGTGGCCCATGTTCAATGGTCTTAGGATCCTCTCTGACTCTCCTTACAAGCCTCCTGAGTACAGTGTTGCTTTTGATTAGGTAAAGGCAGTGTTTGCAGCCGTGGCAGATAGTTAGGTTAGGGCATCAGATGATTAGATGATTTCCAGGGGTGACACTGACTTCCTCCAGTTATTTTTGTAAGAATAGAAAATGAACTCGGTATTTTTCCGTTTATCTAAAATACTGCAAGTGATATATTATAGTTTCCATAATACTTGTTCTTGTGGGAAAACTTGACTACATTCAGCGGCCGAAACCAAGGTACTTCGGAGAGGGGAGGCCGGGAAAGCTGGAGACTTCCTTGGTTTTGCCTGGGCACCTTTGTGACCATCACTGCGGGCGCTGCAGCCCTGCCTGCACCGGGCGACACAGACACTGCTGTGGTGCAAATCTGCACCCCAGGGAGCTAGGGGAGAAGATAAGGGCAAGAGAAGGAGGTGCCAGCCCCTGTCTGCAAAGGCTGCTGCACAGGGCAAATAGCACCTGAGTTACTCAGTAGCAGGTACCCGAGTGGCAAAGAGGAGCTTTTCCATGCAGACTCCTAGAACAGCATTCACAGTTTGCTGTACTAATAAATTAACAATGTTTGGGTATGCATGCATCACCCACAGTAATATTTGGTTAGGTTATATAGAGAGGATCCTCTAATGAGTATTCCTGTTAGTCTATGTTACTGTGTTTTCCAAGAAAAGAGAAACGTGAAGGGAATTCTTGGTATTTTGCACAGAGTGATTACATCTTTCACTAAGAAGAGGTTTGTTCTGATTTTTTTTATTAAAAAGCAACAACAACAACAATCTGATCATACAGATTTGGCATTGCAATTTTATGTATATTCTGAGAGTTGTGCTCTTGGCTTTTCAAAACAGTCGATATTTTCCAGTTCATGCTGATTTTCAGACCCCTCAGGATCAATCAGCAAAGAGGATGAATATTTGAACCATGTTAATAATACCCAACCATGTGGAGAAGGGTGTCTGTGAGACTATTTTGTTCTATAACAGGCAAAGAACTATAGGAAAGTGGTCCCACCCATAAGCAAACTCATACTTAAAATCTAAGGATTAAAGCAACACAGAGACAATCCCCTCAGGTCTCATAACCAACAAAAATAACATCGCTTCCTATCTGCCTCATTCCTTGTCTCTGGTTGTGAAATACAACCTTTCGCTCCCTAAACACTTGTGTCCTTGTCTGTAATTTGTTTTCAGTTTAAGGGACATTGGCTGTTACATAGCAACAGGTTCAGGGCTGCAGCAGTTGCTGGGCAGTTAACCTGCCCAAAACCAGCGACAAACCGGGGAGCATTTTCACACTAGGATTCCGCTTTCACATCAGCTTTGGGAAGTTTCTGTTCTGGAAAGGCGTCTGCTCCTCGTGCTGTTCTGGCTCTGTGTTCCTAGGATAGCAATGTTCCCCCACCTTTTTTACTGCCATGTGCTGGACACAAGGAATCGCTTTCTTAAATTAGGAAACAAGCAAGCATCCGTGTCTTACTTGTACAAGCATTTTTAAACTGCTGCCATTTTATTTCATATCCTTGAAGAAACTTTACCAGGAAATTACAGCAGTCACGAGCAATGTTTCTTCTAACTGACAGATCATTACAAGGGCACAAGAGGAAATGTCTTTCTGTAATAATGTGCCTATAAAAGCAAATTCTTTGTGTCTTCTGTAAGTCTTACAGTCCTTCCCTTGCTTTTCCCCCCACCTGAAGTGGGCTGGAGCTGAGGTGTCCTTGTGCTGCCTCCTGTGAGTTTTTAGGATGTGGCCACGCTGCTGGATCTCCGTTAACTGTATCAAGTGGGCACTGGATGGGGTTCAGCCCACTACCTGATGTCCCCTCTCCAGGGATGTCCCTGTGTTTCTGGTTTGCTGCTGTTGCCTCAATATATTGTGTACCTATTTTGATAGCTTCTTCGTAAGAAGGTGGTGGCTCCATTGCAAACAGATCGTAAGCCGGAGGGGACAGGGTTTTCCTGTCTGTATCCACATATGACAGAGGACTAGGGGCACATGGAAGGCACTGCAAAGAGCTGAATGCTGTAAAGAGAAGGAAAAAAAGACAAGACCTGAAGCCACAGTTGTTGCAACGAGTAGATGCGGCCTCTCAGTGCTTCAGCCGCCAAGCGCTGCGGAGCAGTTGTCTCCCCAAGGACACTCACGCGTCCCCGCGCGCCGGGCAGGGCTGTCGCCACCAGCGAGGACAACGGTCGGGTCACCGGGGAGCCGCGGGCAGCTCGGGGCTGGAGGCCTCGTCCTGCGGCAGCAGAGCCTGACGCAGCTCGTGGCGACGAGGCCGAGCAGCAGGGCCAGCACGGTCAGCAGCAGCAGCCTTAGGGAGGGAGCGAGAAGAATTCCGTCATTTCACTGCGTGCGAGTTACTTCTTCTGGAGCTGAACTACCAAGAGAATATTTCTGTTGATCTTAGGGTCAGACACTCACAAAGACTCTAGGCTCAGCCTAAAGTTCAGTTTCGAAGGCCTCAAACTTCCACAAATCACATAGCACAAGCTCAGGGTTTCTACAGAAATTGCATGTCGCAGCTATTTCCTTCATGCAGCTGATTTCAGTTGCATTTTCTTGCAAATTACTGCTTGGAAAAACCATTTCATGCAGTTGAAAGCCACGTGCAATAAGAACACTCTGCCCTGCTGGGGCTTTGCCCCGAAACATCCGTCTCTTCCGAGGAGCATCCGAGGGGCAGCCCGCGCCTCCGGCCTGCCGGGCTCGTGTGGGATGATCCCACCCGCGCGCGGGTGTCGTGTCAGCCAAACTGCAGAAGCCGCCTTAAAGTAATGTGTGTGAAATCCATGCCATTTGTAAAGAGCAACTTCTAATGAGCATGTCCTGGAGAAACAAGTATCAACCTATAGCAGCCCGAGGACCAAATGACCAACCAGCTTCATCTACTTGCTATCAACATCCTTGTTTGTCAGAATATAAGCTATAAAGCAATGCTAAGATACATAAAATGAATGTTCTAGGGAATTTAACATATTCTACAGGCAACTTTCACATCCTGTACGAGAGAAGAGTGTTTGCATTACCAAAAGGGCATTACTGTTCATCTTTGAGGTTTTTCTGTGTTAGTAACAAACTTACCAGACATACCACAGGCTTGTCCAGTGAGTCGTGTCCTGAAGGCATCTGTGAAGGAAGGTACGTAACTCACTATTGAAAATCTGTGCTGTTAATTTATGACAAGAAATTTCATGCAATTTATGAAGTGAAAAAAACAGTAATTAAGAGAATGGAGCAAAGCCCCTGCAGGTTTAGTTTCAAAGAGCTATTCTTCATAGTTGTGGCATTTTTACAGCTGAGAACATGAAAACTCTCCTGGAAAAAGCTCACTCTGAGTTGGTAAATGTTCCTGCAGTGGCACTTTGCTGCCCTTCAAGAGGGAGGACTACCCAGTAAAGCTAGTTCTAGTAAAGTACTTCTGACTTATTGCAGGCTACTTATAGTACCGGGAGAAGAGAACAGTTTCTAACACAGGCAGAAGAGCAGCTGCCACCAGGTTGTGATTAGGGGGTTGTACGCAGCGGATTTGATGTAGCAGAGCCATCCTTTGGTCAAAGGCGACGATCTGCAAAGCGACCTCACGTCCTGCCATGCGAATGCTGTTCAGGGCAGACATAGAGGTGCCCATGTGGTTACTTACTGCTCCAGGTTCCCGCAGGTGCTCTCGGAAGCGCAGAGCGATGCCTGGCAGAGGGAAGGAAAGATCCGGGTGAGCGTTGGAGAGAGGAGAGCGCTGGCTCTGCGGGGGAAGCCTGCGGGGCTGCTGCCCCCGCGCC